ATCGCCTTCGCCGGCGCCTATGCCTGCCACCGGCTGCGGCCACGCTGGCTGCCGGCCTTCGAACTGGCGGTCATGTCGCCGCTGTTCTTTCCGCACGCCGCGCTCGGCGTGGCGCTGGTGAACGTGCTCGCCATGGCGGGCTATCTCGGCACGGCGACAGGCATCGTAATCGCCCACGTCGTCTGCACGCTTCCCTTCGCGTGGCGGCCGATCGTCGTGGCCCTGCAGCGGATCGACGGCGAGATCGTCGAGGCCGCGTCGCTGCTGGGCGCCGACGAACGGCGCATCGCGCTGGGCATCGCGCTGCCGCTGGCGCGCTCCGGCCTCGTCACCGCGCTGCTCTTCTCCTTCATCATCTCGTTCGACGAGGTGACGGTGACGATGTTCCTCACAGGCCCGCAGGTCACGACCCTGCCGGTCCAGATCTATGCCTTCATCCAGGAGAACGCCTCACCGGTGCTGGCGGCGATCTCGACCGCGACCGTCGTCGGTCACCCTGATGGTGGTGATGCTGCTGGAGCGGCTGATCGGCCTCGAATTCTTCGTGGCCCATGACCCCGCCTAATGGGCTATGCCCATCCTTTGGCTCTGAGATGCGCCTTCATCGTGTCGAGGAAGGCGTCGGCCAGCCGCGACGGCTTGCGGTAGCGCGGGCGCATGGCGCGGAACAGGTAGCGGATGCGCGGCTCGAACGGCACGACGGCGATGCCGTCGCTGAGATAGTCGCGCGCGGTGAAGGGCTCGACGATCGACACGCCGAGGCCGCGCGCGGCCAGGGCGCAGGCATCGGCCGAGGAATAGACGTCGATCTGCAGCTTCCGCTCGATCCGCTCCTGCTCGAAGGCCGCATCGATCAGATGCCGCATCCGCCCGTCCAGCGGGAAAGACAGGAAGCGCTCGCCGCGGAGATCGGCCGGCCGGATCAACTTGCGCTTCGCCAGGCGATGGTCGCGCGGCAGCACGCAGACGGCAGCCGCCCGGCTCAACTCCTCCGTGACCATCGAGGGATGCTCGAACGGCATCATCGAGAAGCCGAGATCGATCTGCTGGTCGACCATCTTCTGGTTGATGTAGGTCGAGCTGCGGACGTGAAAAACGATGTGCGCCTTGGCGTGGCGCTTCATGAAGGTCGCCATGACGTCGGGCAGCACCGAGCGGCCCAGTGCCGGCGTCGAATAGATCAGCAGGTCGCCGACCTGGCGCTCGCGGATCTCGCGCGCGACTTCGGTGACGCGTTCGAGGCTGTGATAGAGCCGCGTCACCTCCTGTTCCAGCAGCCGCGCTTCGCTTGTCGGCGCCAGCCGGCGCTTGATGCGCGTGAACAGCGGGTAGCCGATCTCGTGCTCCAGCCCCGCCAGGATCTTGCTCACCGCAGGCTGCGAGACCCCCAGCCGTTCGGCGGCGGCCGTCACCGTGCCGTGGGCCATGATGGCGCGAAAGGCTTCGAGCTGGCGCGACGTGATCATCATAACCTCAAGGACTTAACCACACCGGACAATGACTTTGACCGGAACCCTCTCTCAAGCCGTAACTCCACCCTGTCAACGTTTTACGTGCGAGCCTGTTCATGCCTGCGGTTAACCCGTCGATCTTCGCCAGCGACTTCAAGGACCAGCCCTACTGGTGGGAGGCGTTCCGGCCCGCTGAGCATCACCGCGCCCTC